CCATCCATCCATCAGCTGTCTCCAACAGCCTAATGACATCCATGACCAGTTCTGGCAAGAAGCCTAGGAGGACTCCTGAGAAGAACAAGAGTCAACATAGGCTCTGCAGAAGAGGTGGCGCCTGAGCTGAGCCCTGAAGGAAGTTAAGGATTCAGAGAGGAGAGACGACATTGCACGCACAGATCTGGTTTATGTAAATGCACAAACGGGAAGATGGCATGTCAGGTTCTGCTGGTGGCTTATGGTGCGATTTGGCTGGAACGTAGACCTTGGGAAAGGAAGCAGTATAAAACAAGAATGGAAAGGTAGGTCAGAGCAAGATGGTGGAGGGCATCCAAGGCCAGGCTTTTCTCCTGGAAGCAATAGGGAGTCAGTGACAGTTCAGGGCAGGAGAATGCTATGATCCAACCATTCCCTTAAGAGGATTAATTTGGCAGCTATGTAAAGGATGCGTATCACCTGTGCTTGGAATCCCTCTCCCAGAAGCAGGCCGGTTCCTTCTCTCCTCAGGATTTTAGGGTTACCGGGAAGGATTGAAGTGTCTCTTTTTCTAATTTTATCAGTTTGAGCCCCCACAGAGTGTTTCCCCCATTTCTTAGGTGCCAATGACTAGCACCCCAATTCTGTTTAGCCACTTCAGATGGGTAGCTTTTACAGAGGGATACTGACTTCAAAACAGCAAGAATAAATGGACAAATGTATCTTCCAATACCTCTGGGACATACTCTCCCCTACCTCACTTCGGTTTCTGGGGGAAGAGGCTCCAAACTTGGTTCAGTTCCTACAGAGCATTTGCTTCACCAAGTTCCTGTCCAGATTCAGCCCATCTACTGGGCGAATCCTTGTGCTGGGCTGGGGTCCCAAAGTCACTACATGATCCTCATGGCACAAAAACTGATTCTTGCTTTTTGGGGGCATCGATGCTAAGCTGGGTTGCAAAATCCAGCCTAGTTTCCAACTTCCAGATTCCTGTGGCTCACTCTCTAAACCTTTTGAAGCTCCTTTCATAAAGAATGGAAAACGAATAAATTAAAAGACCAAACATGCCCCATTTCTTAAGGGTCATATGTCCCAGAGGGGAAAGGGCAGCACCTTTCCCCTTACCACATCATCTCACAATGAGGAAAGGCCATGGAAAGAAAATGACTTGTCCAAAGTTTCACATGTAGCAGAAGTCAGAATAATACCCAGGTCTTCTGATTCTAAATTCATTCCATTTTCCACTCCCCTTCCTCCCCTTCTCATGATTTCTACCACCCCCAACTAGAGGCACCAGGGCTCCCATACCACCCAGGGTCTCCAACTCTTATATCCCTAAGCAGGTCTACCTCATCTGGCCATACTTCATTCCCTGAACCTACAAAAAGCACATCAGTTTATAGGACTGAGATTTGGAAAGGACCTTGGAGGTCATCCAACATAACCCTCCGATTTTTACAGATGAGGAAACTGAGACTGTCAGAAAAAAAAAAGCCAAAAGAAAGTCAAAAGAGCTTGACCAAGGTCACATTGGTATTAAGTAGCAGAGCCCAAATTTGAACCCAGATGTTTTGGCTCCCAAACCTGTGCTATTTCCTGTACTTCTCTCCTCTATAATCATTTCCCTCCTTCCCTTCTAGGAGGCATTCAATCAATATAATGGAAAAAGCATGGGAATGGACATGAGGGCACCTGCATTCCAGCCTCAGCATTGCCCCCAGATGTATAATCTTGAGCAAGTCTCTTCCCTGCTCTCCTAAACTATGAAACTAGGGACATGTTAATGATCTCTAGTAATAGAACATTAGCAGAGGCTTGACTAAGCCACAGCTGGCTAATCTGGTCCCATGGACACAACAGTGTTATTGTTTTAATATAAGAGCTAACACCCTCCTCATACCTTCCTCATGGGGACTCCACCATGTCAGGACCCAAATAGTGAGAGTTTGAGGCAATGCATCAGGGCACAGCGGAAAGGCTGCTCCAGAGATCAGAAGATCACAGCATCCTGGAGCTTCAAAGAATGTTTGTCTGAGCCCCTCACAGTACAGAGGAAGAAACTGAGATGACCCAGCTATGGTTCTGACCCAGGACCCCCAACTACTCTCCTTCCTCCAGAGTATTTTTAGCTCTTTCAAGGCTCTCTGCTTACAAGTTCCTGAGAAGCTGACTCAGACAGCTTAGGCCCATGGTCCAGGGCAAAAGGCCAATATGGTCTTACTCAGCAAAGTAAATGGAAGAGGTCAGTTCTCTGCCTAGGAAGCTCCACTCGGTGAGAGAAAACCTCCCAAGAGGGAGAATAAGTTCCCTCCCAAGTCAATGAGAGAAAATCAAACTTTCCACCCCAGATCTCCCCACCCTCATTGTCCCCCAATGGGCAGAGCTAAGGTCATATCTCTGGGTGGGGCTGGGAGTTTTTGGGAGAGGAAAATGAAACAGCAATTTTGGGTTGCTATTGTTTTGTTTAAACAAACCATCAACTAAACTGGGCTGAAAAGAGCTGAGCTAGGGGAGGGTGGGGAGCTGAAGAATCCTGGATTTGGGGTCTAAGGACCTAGGTTCAAATCTCCAGTGTGGCTAATGAAAAGAGTGAGGATACTGAATTCAATGTTATTCAACAAACATTCTGTTTCTACTCTATGCAAGGCACTGTGATAAGTATAGAATAAGCAAAAACGAAAAACAACACAGGTAGAGAGATCCCTGCTGAGGAAGGGTGTCTGGGGTTGGAGTGAGGACATCCAGGAGGATTGAGGAGAGAGCACAGGACACAGTGCTTAAGAAGGAGTAAGGCCTTGTTGAGGTGAGACCCGAGGCAGTGATAAAGTTGGGGGATTCGACCTGCAAGATGGAGGTGAGCAGCATGAGGCAAACTGCTGATAGCAGTCTACGAAAATGAGGTGGGTGGGTACAGCCCGCTGGCTCCTCCCAAACAGCTGTGTTGAGTCCCTGGTGTGGAAACAGAAGTTGGCAGAGGCTATTCCTCAATGGGAAAGGAACAAGGAGGCTGAGGGAAGACACAGTTGACCAATGTGTAAAGGGACCGGAGTGGAGAAAGAAGCAAAAGAAGGCAGGGTTCTCCTCGTAGACCCCCACCCTCAGCCTCACCTACCTGCCCCCCACCAGCACCTAAGTCCTGAAGGGGTCAGAGGACCAACTCGGGGAAAATTCAAAGCTCGGTGGTAAAAAATGAGGGGCGCTGGGAAATAGGAGCATGGCCTTTAGGACAGGCATGAAATTGATCGTGAAGGGCATAACAGGGTGATGGAAAGTTCTGCAGGCATGGACTCAGGAGAGATCCGAGTTCTGATCTCATCTCTGACATTCTCGAGCTATGTAACCATCAACAATTCACCTAACCTCTCTGAGCCTCGGTTTCTTCTTCTGTAAAATGGGGATAACAGCCCAACACCAGAATCAACCTCACAGGGTTTGTTATGAGGATCAATGAAAATAATACCCAAGAAGTATGCTGTAAACGTGAAGGATTTTATAAATGTCGGTTATCAGCTGGGATATGGAGGACCCGAGCCGGGATTCGGATTTAAAATCACAGGCATGGGAGCTAGACCTTGTGTGGGTTTTCCCCAAGAGGTGGGGGTGAGGTTCCTGCCCGCTTCATGGCCTCCCCTCTGGCCTTACTCCCTCCCCCAAGGAAGAGGACAAGCTGAGTAGGGTTGCTGACCAGGGCACAGTTAGGTGCTAAGTGAACCAGTTATGATATGTCCTTCATCATCACTATTAACATTATGAAAGCCTACACTTGGGGGCCACAGGGATTCCCTAGCATGGCCCAGGATATTGGCACCGGTGTGCCTAGGGCCCTAGCTCCAGTCATTTCATCTGAGCATCTCCCAGACCTAAACAAACAGTAATTAACACCGCATCCCCATCTCTTCATTATCCCACAGACTGGGGAGGGGGGGATCTTGACTTTAGCAAGCCCAGAGGAGGCCACAGGGCCCGCCTGGGGCTCATGGGATGAGTCAGCAGCGCAAAAGAAGCCCTCCCTGCAGCAGGCTCCTCGGGCCCAGCCCACCCTCCTTTTTCCCTTTCACTGTCTGTAGATTAGAAGGCAACCAGCCAAGCCCTCTGAATGTTCTCAGAGGAGAAGACTAAACAATGCTTTTCTAGCCTTCGGCAGGACCACTTCATTCCATCCGAACCTAAAACTTTCATTCCACTCAGAGCCTAAAACACTGAGCCACTCCTACCCAATTTAGAATTCTGGGTCTGGAGCTAGAAGAGACCCAGGAGGTCAGCTTATGGACAGGAATCTGAGACACAGAAAGGTTAAGGTGACTCGCCTGAGATTATAGAGGAAATAATGAAGCAGGTATTTGAACCCAGGTGTGGGCAAGTCACTTAAAGGAGCAGCTGGGTGGCACAGTAGAGAGAGTGCCAGACCTGGACTCAGGAGGACCTGAGTTCAAATCCAGCACAGATAATAGCTATGTGATCCTAGGCAAGTCACTTTACCCTGTTTGCCTCAGATTCTCATCTGTAAAATGAGCTGGAGAAGGAAATAGCAAACTACTCCAGTATCTTTGCCAAGAAAACCCTGAACGGGGTCACAAAGAGTCAGACAGGACTGAAATAACTGAACAACAACCACAGATCTGAATCCAATGCCTTTCCTACTAGAATACACTTCCAGCTCTCTGCAGTCCCATAGGTTTGGAGAAGCTGAGACAGGAAATGAATCCTTGGACTCCATGAGGTCCTCCAGGGATCAGACAGCACACCCCCTCCTTCCAAGCAGGCCTGCCCCTTGAACCATTCCCTCAGGCACATGGGTATCTGTTACCTCTCTTAAAACTGGCAGAAGAAATAGATTCCACATCCTGCCTTGGGCATCCATCCAAGGGCCCAGTTTGGGCAATACAGCCTTCCATACCATCTGCCTCACCCACACCTCCTGACCAACAACAGACTTTCAAAGGAAAAGGGGGCCAGCCTGGGGTCTCCTGCTACTTTCCACACCCACCCCATGTAACCTACATGTCTTTCTGTTGTTTTAGGGTGCTAGCCTCAAGACTGGGAACATACGTGGCGATGAGCTGACTGGTAAGTAAGCCACTCCAGACTCTCCATCTTCAGTTTCAATCCATCAAACAGTAAGCATCCATTGAGCACCTACTACACGCAAGGGACTGTAGTGGGCACTGGGGATTCGAGCACAGAAAATGAAACAATCGTTTCTCAAACCGAGCTCACATTCTTGTTTCTTCATTTATAAGATGAGGTTAGGACTAGGGGGCTTCCAGATGACCCAGCTACTTTGGGGTGCTGAGGGGTGGCTCTGAGAGCCCCCAGAAGGGAGGTCTGATGAATCGGAGAGTAAGGCCGACATTCATTCACTTTATCAATATTTACTGAGCCTCTGCTACGTGCAGGATCCTACTTGAAAAATGCTATTTGACTATGGGCATCGCCTCAGTTTCCTCATGTGTAAAATGAGAATATTGATAGTTGTACCGATGACCTCACAGGGCTTTCAGAATTGTAAAGGGCTACAGAGATGTACATTGTTATTATCACTGCAAAATTATCCTTGCCCTCAAGAGGCTTACAATCTAGTAGGAAATTGAAGATGTGTACAGTTGGGCACCTGCATCCCACTGTTATCTCTCTCAGCCTTTGACCTTGCTCCTTAGCTATTTCCACCCAGTGCCCCTAAAATCTGCTTTCCCCTCCCCTCTCTCTAATCCCTTCACATCCCCTCAGTCTGAACGTGCCCTCGGCACTGACAGCACTCCCAGGTGGGCCTCGATTTCCCCACCTCATCTCTCCAGGGAAGTAAACTAGCAGGTACCCCGAATGCATGGGGTCATGAAGTGAACAAAGCAGGCAAAGGCTCCCCAGACTCACCACTAGAAGGGGAATTCTGCTGAAGAGTCCTGGGATGGGAGGCTCAGAGTAGAAGTGGGGGATGTCCTGGAAGACAGCAATGGAAGACAGAAGCCCTTGTTTCTTTCTCTCCTGCTTCCTGGTCCAAGTTCCCAATGTCATTTCCCATGACACACAGCCATTCCTAATGACACATGCTTAAATTCACCATGTCTGCATACCTAGACATTGATTTATGAATTCTTGTGCATGCGCATGCACACACACACACACACACACACACACACACACACACACACATACATGGGTATCTACCAACTTAGACACAGACCCACTTCACTATTATAATAATAATGTTGGGGAAGCTAGGTGGTGCAGTGGATAAAGCACCGGCCCTGGATTCAGGAGGACCTGAGTTCAAATCCGGCCTCAGACACATAGCACTTACTAGCTGTGTGACCCTGGGTAAGTGTCGCTTAACCCCACTGCCTAACCAAAAAAAAAAAATTAATAATAATAATGTCAATAGTAACCCTAAGCATAAAAAAAAGCAGAATCCTTTCCATCCATACCATATATGCCAATATACAGACTAGTATATACCATTACAAAAGCAGTTTAATGGCAAAGTGGATAGAGCACCGGACCTGGAATCAGGAACTCCTGAGTTCAAATCCTGCCTCAGACACTTACTAGTTGTGTGACTCTGGGTAAGTCGCCTCTCAGCTTCAGTTTCCCTACTTATAAAATGGGGATAATAATAACACCTACTTCAGACGGTTGCTTCAAAAATCAAATGAAGGTCACATATGTAAAGCACTTTGCAAACCTTTGAGTGCTGCGTAAATGCTAGCTGTTATTATCTGAATTCCATTGAACGAAGATGAGACTAAAACAACAACATTAATAATAATAATAGCTGTCATTTATGTAAGCGCTTTAATTACAAAGGCCTTTACAGCCAATACCTCATTTGATCCTTACAACACCGGAGGGCAGATGCTATTATTATCTCCGTTTTATAGATGAAGAAAATAAAGTTCAAAAGAATATAAGGTATAAATTTCTAGCCTTCTCAATGGGTAGAAGAAGAGGTGGCAGGAAGGAGAGAATTTGGAACTGAAAGTAATAATTTTTAAAAATTAAATAAAAAAAAGGGTAAGAAACTTTCTCAGAATCATGTAGATAGTAAGTTGTCAGGATTTGAACCCAGGTCTTCCTGACTCCAAGTCTAGCACACTATTCACACACACACACACACACACACACACACACAACACACACACACACACACACACTCTCAGAAATCCTGCTCCTCCTCTTAGCTACAGGCCCTCTGAGCCTCCCAAAGGACAACTTCCAACCCTCCTTCCAAGACAAGAAGCTTCTCTTTGACTTGTGAACTGGCTTAGTGGGGGAGGTGAGGCAAAAGTGGTTAAGAAGTCCAGGCCTTTTCCTCAGATTCCTTGCATCATTAATCCCTTCTTCTCTTCCATTTTCCTCCTCCAAGTTATTTTCCACAATTTTCTGGCTAAAATAAAAAATGGTACCAAAGGAATGCCAATGCCTCAGTTTCCCCATCTGGAAGAGGGGGCCAGGGAGGGTTTTTGGCTGAAGCCTAGCTCTCTCCTGCAGGAGAAGGAGGAGAGGGAAGGAAGATATGATGAGGTCTGCTAAACTCGTCTGAGACTGAAGTTCACACAGTCTGGAGGGGTGGGGAGGGACCCTTCTCCTCTACCAAACCTGACTCCTGAGAAGGAAGAAGGGAAAGGGTCTCGGTAGGCTCCCCTGCCACAACCTAGGCCACCACTCCCACTGGGAGAGCTTCCATGAGCAAGCCTTTGAATTGAATCCAGCCCACCCCCATAACCACTTCCAGATCCTTAGGCCCATCCAAGAAACTGGCTCCCCTGGGAACTTAGTTCATGAGGAAATGCTGAAAAAGGAAAGAAGGGGGGGGGGTGGAACACTGCTAAACATATAAAAAAAAAAAGTAGAAAAATGAACTTCTTCCTGAGCTGAAAGACTGTCATAGGGCAGAGCAACAAAACAAGGACCTCCCATCCCTCTCCCTTAGGCCTGATCCTCACCCCGATCCTCGCCCTCCTGCCTTCACGAGACCATCAAAGATAAAGAGGAGCTTTTGGGTACTGATGCTGGAATTCAGGATGTTCCCTGTGCCTGGAATGTGCCCCACACACTCCCATTTAAATCCTACCACTCCCTAAAAAGCCCCTCTGTGACATGCTCAAATGCTACCTCTCTGACGAAGCCTTTGCTGACCCTGGACCTTCATGATTTATCACCATGTCCCAGCCTCTCTCCCCAACAATCCCCATATCATGTAGTACCACAAGTCAGGAGGACTTTGGTTTAAATCCTAAATCTTTCCACAAAGAGGAAATTATTAGCTGTGCAGCCCTGTGCAAGACACTTAACCTCTATATACCTCACTTGTCCCCTCTATAAAATGGAGATAATATTAGCATCGTGCTTTTGTGAGTATCTAACCTTAAAGCAAATACATAAATATCAGCCAATACTGTTAGTATTACTCAAGTGTAAGGTCCATGAGGGCAGAGACTGTGCTTTCTTATTAAACTTTGAATCTCCCCTAGCATCTAGCACTGGGCTGTGTACATAGGAGTTTAGTAATTATTTGGTAAGTAAACAAATATTCAGTGCGGTGGAAAGACCTCAGGCTTGGGAGTCAGAGGATCTGGGTTTGAATCCCAGCCCTTCCACCTATTGTGAAACCTTAGGCAAGTCACAGGGTAACCTGTCCAGACCTCAGTTTCCTCTTTTGTAAAATGAGGAAAGGGATGAACTGGATGACCCCCAGGGATCCTTTGATGATACTGATGATAATGAGTGATATTGGCTCTGAGAATCTGTTGGCTATAAGAAGAGAGCCCATCCACCTCAGGAGCTGGCCCCCAGAAAATTTCTCCTCTGCCTGGAGTCAGGCCTCGGGGTTCTCTGCCCTGGGTTGGGCACACACAGACAGGCTTTCACTCCACTGTTCCTTCTCTGCCCTCAGGCTACCAGCCTCCTAACCCACCTCCAGAGACTGGTTTCCATCGGTATCAGTTCATCCTGTTTGAGCAGCCAAAAAAAGGAAAACAGGTCACCCTGAGCTCCAAGGAAAAGGCTAAGAGAGGTAAGACTTCCAGCTTGACCCATGGCCCAGCTACAGCAGACTGCACTGGGGTAATGAAGGCCTCAGGCCCCACACCCACAAGTCCCAGTTGAGCGAAGGGTGTCCCTTCTTTAGAGAAGCTCAAGGCCAGGCCAAAGAGGAAGGAGTTTATTTAGTAGAGCCATCATCTCCACAAGAGAACAAAATCCAGGAACCAAGAGCATAGCTTTGAATGGAAATCCAGAGTGAGAGGGTGAGCAATCTCCCCTATGGTCCCCAGTGACATGTACAGGCAGCAACCCTACAACAAGCACCCCAGATGGTAATTGCACCCAATAATTGGGTCTGATCTAGGGAAGAGGACTCTGGAATGCCCCCCTGATGGCTGCCTGATCTAGTCACAGATTCTGCCTCCTTGCACAACTCTGTGGTCAAGGCAAAGGCAGCCTCAAGCCCTGCCCCAGCCTGATCCCCCACTCCCTTCTTCAAATGCTTCTGAGATGCACACCTGCATAGCCTGACAGCAGAGATCCCTCCATCCCCTCCATTCCCTCCATCCCCTCCTGTCCCAGGCCAGGAAAGAATAGAATCCTGAGGTTCCAGCAATCACCTGACATAATCCGTGACTCTGAGTGAACTACCCCTCTCCTCTCCGGGGCTTAGATTTCCATTCCAGGAAAAAAAGAAGAAGAAGAAGAAGAAGAAGAAGAAGAAGAAGAAGAAGAAGAAGAAGAAGAAGAAGAAGAAGAAGAAGAAGAAGAAGAAGAAGAAGAAGAAGAAGAAGAAGAAGAAGAAGAAGAAGAAGAAGAAGAAGAAGAAGAAGAAGAAGAAGAAGAAGAAGAAGAAGGAAGAAGGAAGAAGGAGAAGGAGAAGGAGAAGGAGAAGGAGAAGGAGAAGGAGAAGGAGAAGAGGAGAAGGAGAAGGAGAAGGAGAAGGAGAAGGAGAAGGAGGAGGAGGAGGAGGAGGAGGAGGAGGAGGAGGAGAAGGAGAAGAAGAAGATGATGATGATGACGATGATGACCTAGATCTCAATAGCCTGTCAAGATGAGGGGTTGGGAGGGAAGGGATGTAGCAGAAGGTAAGCCAGAGAGCACTGATGTCAATCATGGCAGAGTGAAGAAGTCCCACAAGTCAACAGGAGGGTGGCTGGGTGGAAGAAGCTGGCATAGCCCTGGCTCATCCTCATTCTCTGAGAAGCAAACTAGGTATTCTCACAACACCTTCCCAGCCCCAGCCTCTAGAAATTTCCTTCTCCTTCCCAAAAACCAGCTGATGGGACCCCAAAAGAATGAGCCCTATGCCCTTTAGAGAAAGAATGAATGGATTCTAGGACATTAGCCACCAAGCAGAGAGTGTGGTTCCTGAGTCATTAGATTAGATTAGAATTCTGCCTCAGATGTGTGATCTCTGCAAGCAGCTTAACTTTTCTAAGCCTTATCTGTGAAATGGGGGCTGTGAGATCGAATGAGACAATGTATGTAAAGAACTTTGCAGATTTTAGCTCTCTGTAGTCAGCTGTTCTTAACCTATTCGCCGTTGAACCAGCTAGGCGCCCTCAGCACCCTTCTGAACTGTAGTAGAGGGGGGGTAGGGACGGGGGAGGCAAGTCACCACTGATACCCTCACATCATTTGCCTTTAACATCCCTTGGAAATGAACATATTGTTTAGGAGTGTGGGGAGGAGGCAGGATGGGAAAGAGGCTGATTTCGCCAGAGCAGAGGCCCTGTGTTGGCAAAGCCCAGGAAATAAGTTTACAGGAGAAGGAAGGAGCCAGATCACAGAGGACCTGCAAAGACAGCGGCCTTAGTCTTGGATAGCTGAGCAGGGAAGTAAGAGAGGGAAGACGGGAATTCTAAAAGGTTAGTCTGGCAACAGAGGGGCAAGCCTAGAGGCACCAGACCGAACTGAGAGACTGTTACTCTAGTACAGGTGAGAGGTAAGGAGGGCCTCAACTAGATGGGCTGCAGGAATCCAGGAAGGGGTGAATGAGTACATGCCTATAGGCTCAGGGCCACCTGGGGCCCAGAACAGGGCCTTATCTTCCTAATTGTCTTTTCACGAGACAATAGCTTCAGGGGGATCCCTAATATGTGATGCTGTAACCAGCTCTTTGTGTCTACCACATTGCAAGTAAGGGTTCTGGAGACCAGAAAGGAAGGAAAAAAAGACGCAGTGGGGTGGGGTATGTGAGCGTTGGCTCAGCAGAGTAGATTTCGTACCACGAATCAGCATTCTCCAGATTCAGACATCTCCAGCTTGAGGAATGGAGAGTTAGAACCAAAGTGGGGTGACATGCCCCGCCTTTCTCAGACCTGGCAGCCCTCATATCTAAGGTCTGGCAGACAGACCCAGGGTAGAGGCAGGCCCACAGGAGCAGTGTCCCAACCAATCCCAGACATGTCTAGGCACAAAAATTGGCTCAGCCCCTGGGGCGCTAAGACCCCATTAAGGGCCCTGGAGGCAAGTTTGGATCCAGACTGATCTGGCTGTACAAATTCCATCGTGCTGTCCTACTTCCAACATACTTTCTCTCAGTGCCCTCCCTCTTTCTCCCACCTCCCCGAGCATACCCCTCCCCGCAAATGTGTTCTCCTACTGCTCCATCAGTCTCTGGAATACTTATGATGTCGGAAACCTTCCTTTACACTGGGGACTTTCAGAACAAGTCAGTGCAGGGTAGGGAAGGGGGGAAGACAAAATGGTATCAGAGTAGGATCTAATCATGACAGCCTGAGCTCCTGAGTGAGAAAGGAGGGAAAATCTCTACTCTTCACTCTCTCCAATCCTAACCCTCTGCCTCACTCTATTGCACAGGAGCTGACTTCCTAGATTCTGGGTAGAGTAAAGGAAAGAGAAGAGAGAAAGGGGCTGCAATGATTTCAGGCCCAGGGAACATTTGCAGGTTCCTCTGCTTTCCCACCCTAATCCCAATACCCACACCCCCACAGAACCTCTTCCACTGACTGACCGTAGCTCCCACCCCCTAAAAACCTGAGCCTTTGCTCTGACACCTGGCTGATCATGTCTCAATTGGATTCCTCTGGACTTGACTTGGTATTTGTCCTAGATGGGGCCAAGCCTGGGATGAGCCGGATACAACTTATGCCCATCACACTAAACACTTTAGAAGACAGGCCATGGCCTATGGCCTTCCCCTCCTGAAAAGCACTGCCCCAAACCATACCCCTTCATCCAGTCATGCCAGCCGTTCCCTCTCTATTCAGGCCAAGTGCGCTGATGCTAGAGATCCCGCTAGGGTCTCCCAAAGTCCATAAGCAGGTTTTCAGCCTCCAAACTTTTAAGCCATTTTTGGTGGTAGCCATGATAGAAACAACCTGTGAGTAAAATTCAAAGGCAAGTTGATAGGGACTTAATTTCTGTCAGAGGAAATAGCTTATCTTTGTATGTACAGTAAGCATTTCTTGTTTGTCCAGGGATCTAAAGGAACACATTGGGAGTGATTTTGTGATGAGCTATTCAAACTGTAATAAAATGTGCTTTTAAATGCTGTGATAGAAACAGCCTAAGTTGTTAAAGCATAAAGTACATAAGGACTTTCTGAAGACCCCTGTACACACACACACACACACACACACACACACACACACACACACACACACACACACACACACACCCCTACCACTTGGTAGATGGTTATATTAGAAGGCTTAACCCAGAGCCTCTTTCACTAACGGAGTCTCTAAGCTACATTCCCCAGAAGCCAACGTAGGGGTTTCATGGAGGCACTAGGTGAGGAGGCATCCCCAGTGGGGGAAGTTTTAAAACCATCCATCAGAGCAGACCTCCCTCCCATTACCCTTTACATGAATGCTGTTTCCACCTTAAAGAATCATTCCCCTCCTCCACCTCTCACCCCCAGGCTTCTAGAGAGAACCCAGTTCTGAGACTCTCCCCCAAGGAATGAGACTCTAGACTAGGTCTTCCAGAGCTTTTACAAAGCTAGATGGCACAGTGGATAAAACGTTAGACCTGAGTTCAAATCCAGCCTCAGACACTTACCAGCTGTGTGACCCTGGGCAAGTCATTTAAGTCCATTTACTTCAGTTTCCTCAACTGTAAAATGGAGATAATAATAGTACCTATCTCCCAGGGTTATTGTGAGGCTCAGATAAGATAGTATTTTAAAAAGCACTTAGCACAGCATCTGGCACGTGACTGGTGATATAAAATGCTTATTCCCTTACCCAAGCGTGTGCATTTCTGCCTCTAGAATTTGTGCTCCTGAGAATTTTGTGCACTGGTCAACTATTGCCTTTTATTTAGAAATTTCTTGAAGACCCTGATCAGCCTTGTCTTCTACTTCATTTTTCTCCCCCTATAGCGTCTAATGCTGTGTTCACATCCACAAACATCCACAGACACACACAGACACACACCCCTTTCTCATTCATAGACTCACACACATTCTCACACCCACACATCTATATAAACATACACAGCCCCCATGTACTTCCTCAGCCAACTCTGAGATTCTGCAACTTTTAGGAGTCGAAAAACCATCCCCACGAATGAAAATTTCCCTCCTTGCCATCCTCTTCCTCCCTGACCCCAAAGCAAAGAGACTGGAAGGACCCAAGTAACAGCCCCACCAGTAATAACCACAACTCAGTAATAACCACGACCTTACAAAGAGCTTTCTCAGTAAGCACTCCATCTGATCCTCACAAAACCCCATAAGACGGATTGAATGGGGTGTTGTGGATTCCATTTGACAGATGAGGTAACTGCACCCTGGAGAAACTGTGCCTAGCCAGGGTCACTTCTACTGAGACCAGCTGTCAAAAAGCAATCCTTTCCCCTCACCCTTCCCTAACCTTCCTCCTCACCCCAATGAGCAAGGGAGGCTTCCCAAGGGTGATGATTAACTGACCAAAAGGAGTGCCAGCTGCCCCAAAGCTCATCCCTCCCTGGGCAAAGTCTGTGATTGAAAGAGCTCAGAGAATCAGCCCCAGGGAAATCGCCCACCCTCCAGCCAACGGGGCTGGGAAAAGTCCCAGG